GCAAAGAAAGAAGTAACTTTTATTCTCGCTGTAGTATTGTTGCTGCCGCCGCCACCAGGCGCTGTGTGCTTCGTTGAGAAAGCGAAACTACTTTCTTTGGTCTTCCAAAAGAGGACGATATCGCTTCGTCATGCCTGGAGCTGATCCGAGCTGGTAGCTGAGGAAATACTTCAACTTCGCGCTGTCGATCGCCGGATCGGCTTTCACCATGGACGAAGCGGAGTCCAGCCCGGGGTCATCACATGTGGTTGCCGCAGGCATCACAGTATGGTAAGGGACGTAACATTTCCGTCACATGCTTGAGGAATTCGGCCAATCATAACGCACTGGATAGCTGGCCAATCAGAGCACACCTCGCTTTTCAGACCGATGAGCTTTGTAAAAATCGACGCGTTTCAGAAAGGCGGGGCATAGAGGAGAAACAATAATGTACAGTTTGTGGAAAATAATGTGTTTTTTTAACCTTAAACCGCATAAACACATTTCATTACACCAAATACACAAAATACTGTTCTTTTTAGCAACGTCATATGACCCCTTTAAGTGGGCGCTTAGGTTGGGTCATGAATATTAATTAGGAACATGACAGTTCCAAAGCAGAGACAGCCTGACCAAATTAATATTCATGAACAACGCCTTTACTGTAGTACGAGTCGTAAATTATCACATTCTCTTAGAGAGAAAATAAAAACAGAAAGACAACTTAGCAAAACCCCGAAAAAGGAGCGGGAAATGTCACCGAATCATTCATCAGAACTCATATGTCTTATTTTGTTTGTTTAAAATGCTATGCAGAACACATTAAATCATAAAATACCTTTTGCCCTGCTGTACGTAATTATGATCAGGCATTTGAAAAGGCAGCACTATCCGCGTTGGCTTGAATGAGAATGATGTCATTTCAGACTTTGCCGCGCGCTGATGGTCAGTTGCTCGGTTGCGTTGCCATGGTGACTATCTGACTGCGCTTAGCTTCAGGTCAACCGGGCATTGTCGACGGTTTACGAACCCGTAGGAATTGAAAATATTCATCTGTAAATGTACCACGGATTATATAAAGAGCTATGCATGCTGCACTTTTAACTCTTCTGTTATCTTCGAGTACTTTTTGCCAGTCTTCAAAGAATGGGTAATATGACACTGTCAAGGATATCTTAAAAAGACTTATGAAAAGTACGTTAGTATTTAAAAATAATTACAATTAAAAAATACTTTATCCTAACGTAATGTAGCATAATCAAGAACAAGAACTGGGTTTTAATAGTAACTTAGCAAGGTTAATTCAGGTTAAGTTTCTGCTTGCGAGAAAAAGTTCTTTATCGAGAAAGTGCAGCGACGACATCTGCCGGTGGAAAGATCACATGACTACATCTACTAAAATGTCAATCTCGCAATTCATTTTATTTTATTATTTATTTATTTTTCCAAGCAACTTTGGTTGCAGTCAATCCATTTATAAGCATTCAAAAATACTATTAGTAGATGATTGGACACACAAGGAAAGCATCAAATGATCAAACTATGATGTCTAGATCTGGTTTAAACAGATATATAAATATACACGGCAGAAACTAGCAAACTAAAATAACAGTAGGTGAATACAGAAAGAAGGAAACATAAAGACCACAAACTACTGGATGTGTGCTTCTAGGTTCTGAGATAATGAAGGAGATTGTGGTCCACCTATACTCAAATGAAGTGTGGTGAAGGGATGACAGCTGAGGCGCTACCACTATTACGTCTAGAGGCTATTCCCTCAGTCTGCTCCATATGGCTGGGCAAACTCAACCTGTGCTTAACTGGCAGGTGTGGAGGGGTAAGACTGAGGGTCTCCTGAGAGAATTAACATGCCAAAACCCTGACTCACATATAGAGGCCTGTAACTTGACCTTCTTCCTTTTAGTCTTTAGCCATGAACACCCTGCTGTCTAAAAACATGTTATTTTACTGACATGAGGCGCGAAAGACTCATGTCTTCAATTGTAAACATGAAAGTTTAATGAATTATGTCTTTATCTTCTCGTTCACTTTAAAACATATTTATTTATTTATTGTTCAGATTGTATATCTAAATTAATGGCTTTTTCATGTAAGTAAGCCACTGTTATTTTAACATAGTTGAGTTATTATTTAGTTTAGTTTTAGTTAAAGGAATAGTTCACCCAAAAATTCATGTTTTCCGAACATTTACCCTCAGGATATCCAAGATGTAGATGAGTTTGCTTCTGCATCCGAACAGAGAAATGTAGCATTACATCACTTGCTCGACAATAAATCCTCTGCAGTGAATGGGTGCCGTCAGAATGAGAGTCCAAACAGCTGATAAAAACATCATAATAATCAGCACGACTCCACTCCATCAATTAACATCCTGTGAAGCGAAAATCTGCTTGTTTGTTGGAAACTAGTCGTTTATTAAAGACGTTTTTAACTTAAAACTTGAAAGTTAAAACGCCCTAATGATAGATTTGTTTCTTACAAACATGCATCGTTTCACTTCATAAGAAATGAATTGATGGACTGGAGTCATGTGGATTACTGTGATGTTTTTATCAGCTGTTTGGACTCTCATTCTGACGGCACCCATTCACTGCAGAGGATCCACTGGTGAGCAAGTGACGTAATGCTAAATTTTTCCATATCTATTTCAATGAAGAAACAAACCTCTACATCTTGGATGGCCTGAGGGTGAGTACATTTTCAGAAAATGTTCATTTTTTGTTGAACTATTCCTATAAATAATAACCCGAAGTGAGCTCCTCAACGCTGCAGTTAATCTTATTTTAAACTCAGATCATCAAGATTAAGTTATTTTTCTAATCTAGCTTTCATGAATACTTATTATTTTTAAATGCTATTCTTGTTATTCTGTCTCACATCAATATTCTCATCCTCTTGTTCACAGGCTTTGTCTAAAATGCAAAGAGCTGATGCACCATTATTCTCCAGACACTAGAGGCTGCTGTCTTCTTTTTTCTCCCAAAGAAAGCTGCATCCTGAGCAAACGTTTTTGTTGTTGTTTTATTGACATGAGTTTTATGATTAATCACATATGACACGCTTGCTAAACTTTCTATGGGGCATAAAGCTCACAGATCATAAACCTTTCAGCACACACAGTCTGGGAACTCTGTAACCTTGAACTCTCTGCCCAGAATAGCTGGGCATTTTAACAAATCACCGACATACCAAGCTGTGTGACCAAAATCTAAACAATATGTGCAATTTTTAGACATGAATGTAAATCATTAAAACAGTCAAGATATAAAACATGTATTTTTTTATTTTATTTATTTTTTTTTACATGAGACCACAAGCTCTCGAGTATTTGACAGTAAAACCCTGTGTTAGGTTGTTTGATTTTTAATGTTGACATTTAGTACAACAAAAAATGCAAGCTGTGCTATAAAACATGCAGAACTATGGAGAGGAAACTAGTTTCTCACGACCACATTTCATCTCATTCCATGTGTCTAGCAGTGAATGCGGCGCTGGTACATTCCTCCCCTCAGTGTGATTTAATCATGATGTGATGAAGAAAAAATATATATAAATAAAAAAAAACAAAAAACTGAAAATACATATGGCTTGTCTACATAAGGATTGACTTATAATTATCCACACAGCTGGCATGTGACCTGTGCACAACAGCATATTTAATAATCATGAACCTGTTTTTTGTTGTTGTTTTTTACAGTTATCATATTAAGGGGACCATCATTTAGAAAGGTGAATACTTGTTAAATCTGAAGCTTTTTATTAAAGGTGAAAAAGAAGAGTTAATGTTGTTTAAGTGTATTTTGTATTTTCATATTTACATATTTCTAGATCTCATATGAAACAGGCCTAGTAGAATCTCATTGCACCTCTACTTGTACTATTAACACCAAGTAGCCAGTTTACACGAGGGTGTCATGTGTCCGACCACTTTAAGTGGAATGTAATAATGACCTCATGGCTTTCTTACATCTTTCTTGACCTCTGGCACATATATGCTTCAGAAACATTATTCTGGTGAACTGCAGGCACGCAAAGAATCTGATGTCAAGATAAGAACAAATGAATGAATTATCTTTTACTTTTTGTTTAAGCATATTCTTCCTTTACCAGAATATCTGCTTAGGACAGGATCGGTGCGTGGACGTCTTTTAAAACAATACTGAATTCGAAGGCCCTGCTTACAATTCACTTCATTCTCCTCTCCTTCAGCCATGGGGGTGGAGTATTGCTGGTCTTTATACACACACACACACACACACACACACACACATAATGAGAAATGTATGCTAAAACCAATCAGGCAGGTGGAAAAAAGGCAAATCCACAAACTTCCAAGTCAAAGGAATACGGTTGCTATAGAGATCGCTTCAAAAAGTGAAAGAAAAGGGGGCATTATTCCCAAAACCCATTATAAAGCCCATCTAATCTAGTAAAATATGCACCCAAGGTGAGGGGGAAGGGAGGAGGAGAGGGAGGGTATATGGATTGTGGGCAAGAGGGGCTGTGATAACGACAGATGTCTCACAAACCGTGGGTTTAACAGGAGGGGTGAAAAGAGAAAAAACGCCCAGTCGCAGATTGGACCTCAGTGAGAGAGTACTGCCTGGAACTGATTCACATTCACTATTACAGGAGAAAAGAAAGTACATTCAACGCACTCTCACGCACGGATTTCCACAGAAGCAGAGAAGCAGGTTAGTAAAATCTTAGTCGCGATTTTATAGTCACTGTTTGAATAACGGGGGGAAATCACTTATAAAACAAAGCGTTTTATTGGGGCTGGCGATATAATTGAACGCAGACTGCACGAGCCGTTCTTTGTTCTCGTTATTTTCATATGTCACTCATGAAAACTACAAAGGTACTACAACAAAAGCATCCCATATCTATATTATTCATTAACTAAACGTGAAAAAAATGGTTATTTCCTAGAAATGTCTGAATGACACTTTACAAATGTCACATTGGGCAAGAGGGGCTGTGATAACGACAGATGTCTCACAAACCGTGGGTTTAACAGGAGGGGTGAAAAGAGAAAAAACGCCCAGTCGCAGATTGGACCTCAGTGAGAGAGTAGGACTGCCTGGAACTGATTCACATTCACTATTACAGGAGAAAAGAAAGTACATTCAACGCACTCTTACGCACGGATTTCCACAGAAGCAGAGAAGCAGGTTAGTACAATCTTAGTCGCGATTTTATAGTCACTGTTTGAATAACGGGGGGAAATCACTTATAAAACAAAGCGTTTTATTGGGGCTGGCGATATAATTGAACGCAGACTGCACGAGCCGTTCTTTGTTCTCGTTATTTTCATATGTCACTCATGAAAACTACAAAGGTACTACAACAAAAGCATCCCATATCTATATTATTCATTAACTAAACGTGAAAAAAATGGTTATTTCCTAGAAATGTCTGAATGACACTTTACAAATGTCACATTTATAGTTTTTCTAAGTTTAATGTTATAATGGAAAGCTGAGGCTTATCTCCTAAATGCAGCTAGGCTACTAGGAGGTTAAAAATGTGTAAAAAAAAAAGTAAAATATAAAAACCTTATTTTAATTCTTTTATTCTCTTTTTTTAATGAAACTGTGGGTTACAGATATAGCTTTTACTCAGTTTAAGCTCGAACCCCTTGTATTTCGATTTCCCTTTACTGTTTCTCTATTGAAAGCATTGTTTTAGGGAAATAGGAAACATTAATTTGCGCTAATAAGAAATTGTTATTCTATAAATGTTAGGCGGAGCTGGTCGATATGAGGAAAGGGGTGGCTGCGGTGGGGGTGGGTTAAAAAAAAGTAAAATATAAAAACCTTATTTTAATTCTTTTATTCTCTTTTTTTTAATGAAACTGTGGGTTACAGATATAGCTTTTACTCAGTTTAAGCTCGAACCCCTTGTATTTCGATTTCCCTTGACTGTTTCTCTATTGAAAGCATTGTTTTAGGGAAATAGGAAACATTAATTTGCGCTAATAAGAAATTGTTATTCTATAAATGTTAGGCGGAGCTGGTCGATATGAGGAAAGGGGTGGCTGCGGTGGGGGTGGGTTAGGGGGGTTGTTGGGTGTTGGTGTTGGGCATGTCTGTCTTAAAAATATATAAAAGTGTGTGTGTGTGTGTGTGCGTGTGCGTGCATGCTATAAGTATAGGCTAAATATATTAAAACGTAAAATAATATTTTTGTTTTTATTAAATATGTTAAGATAAAATGTTATATATATATATTGTGCACCTTATATATTGTAACCTGCTGCCAGACATGAGATAGGCTACTTGGTTTGCCATACTCGCTCAGGGTAGCCTATTTCATCAGTCTTCAAGGACATAACTTCATTACATCATTATATTAATGAGTAACTTCATCAAGCAAGATTTGCAGGAATAATGGAGGCTGTGAAGCGTACTGGCACAGAGTGCTGTGAGAGACTGTAATAAGAGAGGTTGTCTTTAGTGAGCGCTGACATAGGCAGCACATTTTAGCAGTTGGACTCAACTGCAGGTTGGACTGGGGCATGACTGTGTATCCGGTCTTTGTTTGCACCAGTGCAGCACTATGGACAGCTCCTGATGTAACCCCATCATGCTGCAGCTTAAAGGATATTACCCAACTGAGCTGCAATAACTGCAGGCCTTTAAAAGGATGCAAAAGGTGTCAAATCTGTGGCAATAAAAAAAACATTTAATCTACCTCACACGTCCATAATCCCACATATATTTTAAACTAATTCCAATTCCAATTCCAATTTACAAATTAGGTTCCTTGCCATTTACAAGAATATTTTTGGTAATAGGAAAAATTGTTGTATAATAAAATCTTCCATTGGAGTTTAAAAAAATAATGATTTAAGTAGCATCAGTAGCAAATGTTATCTAATCAGTCTTTCCCATGAATCCTATCTTTACACCTCCCCAAACCAAGCTGCTTTACTAACCAGAACCAGCCATAAAACATTTTTAAGAGAAGTGAATAACTTTTATATGAATTTTTGATTGATTGTAGTGAAACTGTGTACAGATTGATAGAATAAAAAAAAATGCAGACATAATATAATACTTGACATAACTAGACCTGTTGGTTTTTAAGATAGACTATGTTTTGTTGGTTTTGTCTAGCTTTCTGAGGATTCAGAAGTTAAAAGTGCTGTGTTTCGCTTCCAAATCCTTTCAAACCCTCATTTTATACAATCAGTGCATGCTACCTTTACACTGTAAGACTGGGTTCTTGAATGAAATCTTTACAAGTTTACAAGAAATGTGACATTCCCATCCAGTCACTGTTTGTCCTTAAGCCACGTCCTCCTCCATAACAAAGTTGGACTGCATTCAAAGTCCTTGGCAGAGATTGCATTGGGTTGAAATGATTGAGTGAGCGCCCTTTAAATGGAGAAACAGGGTGGGCCATGTGGGCAGTTTTACATTTTACAATTTCATATCCATAATGAGGTGCTAAGAATATTGGTTATTTTTTAGTTTAGTTTTAGAACAACTTTTTGCATAATAATGTAGCTCAAACAGTATGGCACTAGAAATGGCAAGGTCATGGATTTGATTCCCAAGGAATTTCTGAACTTATAAAAATGTATAATGAATGAATGCAATGGATACTGCTTTGGATAAAATAATTTGACAAATTCATAAAAGTAAATATATTGAATTGCAGTGATGTTTGTAGATTATATAAGATGTTCTTCTGTTCCCACAGAAAATCATGGGAGGCAAGCTAAGCAAACGGAAGAAGGGATACGATGTCAGCGACCCTAAGGAGAAGAAAGAGGAGAGTGCTGTGGCAGCAGTTGAACCAGCTGAGAAAAAGGCAGAGACCCCTGTGACGGAAGCTGTACCTCAGGAGGCTGCTGCAGTAAGTGCAGCACCAGTGGTGGAGTCTGAAGCACCAGCTGAGAAGTCTGCCTCTCCTTCAGCAGCACAAGAAGAGGTGAAGAAGGATGATTCTGCACCAGAAAAACCAGTGGCTACAACAGAGGCATCTACTGCTGCACCCAAGGAACCAGAAAGTGCTCCAGAGGAACCAACAGCTGTACCAGAGTCACAAGCAGCAGAGGTACCAGCATCTGCATCAGAGGTAACAGCTGCTACACAAGAGGCACCAGCAGCAGAGGTATCAGCAGCGGCATTAGAGACACCAGCAGCGGCACCAGAGGTATCAGCACCCAAGGAACTTGCAGATGCACCAGAAGCATCAGCAGCAGAGGACCCTTCAGCTGCACCTGAGGAACCAGTGACAAAGGAACTTGCAGCTGCATCTGAGGAACCAGTGACAAAGGAACCTGAAGCTGCACCAGCAACAGAGGAATCTGCCGCTGCACCTGAGGAACCAGTGACAAAGGAACTTGCAGCTGCATCTGAGGAACCAGTGACAAAGGAACCTGAAGCTGCACCAGCAACAGAGGAATCTGCCGCTGCACCTGAGGAACCAGCTGCTGTACCAACAGCAGAGGAATCTGCAGCTGCACCAGAGGCACCAGTGACAGAGAAACCTATGACTGCAACAGAAGAACCAGCCACTGCACCAGAGACACCAGTGACAGAGAAACCAGGATCTGAGCCACCTGCAGCTTCACCTGAGGAACATGCAACTTGCCCAGAGGCTGAAGATTCTGCAGTTGCACTTGAGGATCCTGCACCTGCGCTAGAAGAGCCTGTATTGTTGCCTAAATTTGAAGCTTCGCCAGTGGAACCTGTTATAGAGGAAGCAGTAGAGAAAGTGGTTGAGGAGGTTGCAAATACCAGTAAATTGTCCACCAAAATTACAGAAACCACTGAGGTCACACCAGAACCAGAGACTGTTACTGAGGCAGCAGCTCCAGAGCCAGTTGCCGAGTCTGCCCCAGTGTCTGAACCTGTTTCCAAGGAATTGAGTGCAGAGGTTGAGATGGCTGTGCCTTCCCCAGAGGAACCCACACCAGTCACAGAGCCTGATTCTGAAACTGCTGCACCCCCTGAGGTTACACTAACACAAGCAAGTCCTGAGCCATCCCCCGAGGAGCCAACACAACCTGAACCTATGGCAGAACAAAAGAGTGCAGAAGAGTCCATTCCCGCAATTGTTATCATAGAATCAACCTCAAACAATGAGCTCTGCCTTGAGGAACCTGTCTCGACTATCACAGATCTGAAGCTGAATAATGGAGATTGTGAGAGTGCTGGCTCAGCAGAGGAATCCGTGTCGGCTCCCCCTAAGGTAAACGGGGAATGCCATGAGCAGGCACCAGACGTAGCCCCTGCGGATGTCCTTGAGTCCCCGGTTGAGGCATGTGTAAATGGTGTGAAGGACAAAGAACCCCCTCAAGAGCTAAGTGACTGTGAACTGAAAAAGGACTTGAGTTTGGGTGCTGACTTTCAGGGTCCAGCTCCGATTGGTGACATGGTAGAAGTGCCACAGTGAGCTGAGCTGTCGACCTAATTTGAGAAGCAAACCTTAAATGTGAATCCCATATTGATGCAAACAAAAAAATGAAACAATCTTCTGACAACACAGGCATTCTGAAAATAAATGTGAAAAATGCCTGTTGTGTTCTCTCAGGCAAAAGAATTTCTGGTTAACCAAAAAGAAATACAACCACCCAAGAGCTAAGAGTGTGAGAAACAAATAATGAAATAGTGAGGGCAAAAGCCTTAAAGGAAATGGGAGGGAGATAATGATGAGAATGAAGCGAGAGACAGAGAAAAAGTGAGCGCATGGTCTTTGAAGTCTTTGTGGTCGGTGTCCTGCTGTCATTGCAGAGGGTGAGCTTACAGGCCTTGTTGAATATGTAAGCCACAGAAATAATGATTAGACATGAACATAATAAAAAAAAAAAACATTGAGATGGCAGAACAGAAATGCTGGACAGTAACAATGGCAAAAATGAATGAACGTAATCATCTTTTGTGTGCGAGACTGATCCATATTGAAATGGTTTATTGGATTAACATTTAATAGTATCTAATCTAATTTAGACCACATTTCTGTCACCATGTAATACGGAGATTTGAGGATGAAGCATTTTGAACTTTTCATGTTGGGAGAATCAGCTGGGAATGTTCATTTTAACTTAATGGCTTGGAAAATAAAATAAAACACTCTGTTATAAATTAAAAATGATTCTTTCTTTTTTGCACTGTTGCACTATTGTGAATGTTGTGCTGAGTGGATGCAAGTGTGGAAAGGTTGTTTTTTTTACTCAAAAGAGTATTTAAAATAAATGTATGATGCAATCTCATGCATAGAGCAGACCCATTTTGTTTCAAAAGCATGTGCACAGCATGTTGGCTCTAAATTAATATAAGAGTAGTATACTGTAGACAGCTGCAACAGTTACATTCAAGGCCTGTTTTCAGCCTTTTTGTGTGGTAGTAGAGAACTGACCGGCAGGTCACCATTCCAACTATGTCCCAAGAGTCATTGACTTTGTAAATTTGTTCTGTGGGGCTGGGCATCAGACATGTGTTGTTTTAAGTAACATGGAACATGGCCATGAATGCAAATGTCTGTTCAAAGGCTTAACTCAACAATCAGGTTGTGATAGAACAGGGGAAAGGATTTTTCATTCTTCACGGGGGAAAGAGGTCCCAGTATAACAAGAGGGGGATGCCGTACAATGCAGCAGACTGCAGTGGGGGAACAAGACTGGGGAAGGTCTCTTGCTCGAAAGGAGGAGCTCTGACACAGTGTAGAGAGGGAAAGATTGGCCATGACAAAAAAAAAAGATAATGCCTTCAGCCATTTTTACACATACACATAGACTTACATAACCTAGAAAGGACACATGGACAAATTAGAAACTTGGAACACGAAGACCTCAATAAACTAAAAAAAACAAGTACTACAAACATGCTACTCTCACATACTCTCTAAAAGAAAAGAAAATATCTGAAGGTTCCCAAGTGCCCTCCACAGGCACCATAATGAGCTCCTCCACATACCAAGCATGAATTCTCGAGTTTCTTAAAAAAAAAAAAAAAAAAGTAAAAACACAGGCATACAGATTTATGAAAGGAATGTTCTCTAAAGCTGAGGGGGCAGGGGCAGATGGATGAATGAACTCACTGGCTTCAGTGTTTTTCAGAGTCACTGTTAAACTTGTTCTCTGTGTGAAATCAGAATGAACAGAATGTATTTGTGTACCACTTTCTAAAAAAAGCTATTTAATATTATACAGTGGCATTACACATTTAAAGGGGTAGTACCCCAAAAATGAAAATCCTTTCATAATTTAGGCTACTCATCCTCTTGTCGTTCAAAAATTTTAATTTTATGCACAAAAACACTGACATTCAAATTTTTTTTACTTTTCTGTAGTTTTCCAAAAATTTTTTTGTTGAAGGTGAAAAAGGTCTTGATATCTTGCACTATAAGGTCTTATAGTTTGTCATCAAAAAGAGATCTCTGGTTTGCAGATTTAAGGGAGGTCCAGTGTGAGGAATTTCTATACAAGGTATCCAGTTTCCTCATCCCATCTTACTGTGCTCGGGGAGCAAAGTTCCTTCCTTCTTTCAGCTCTCTCTCTCTCTTTCTTGCTCCCTTCCTCCCATATTCGTCTTCTCTTTTCCTTAGCTTTCATGCACAACAGATGAGAGGTCCTGCTTGCATCTTGATTTAAAGGCTCTCTACACAGTGCATAGTTGTGCAGCCGCAGCTGCAGTGCTTGGATACACCAGCACTATGTGTTCTATACTGGTGCCTTGGCACAAAACTCAACGTGCTTTCCTGTCTCTTTATACACATGAGGACATTTGATCTTTCACTTTCACTCCCCTTTGTATAAAATCCCCTTCCTTGTATAAACATTTCAACATTATTTGAAGTCGGCATGTATAACAGAAATTCACTCTATTCCGATCATTTTTAATCAAAATGTCATCACACAATCTTCCAGTGAAACGACAGACTTCACTCTGGTGACATATGCAGGACTTCTCCAATCATTTAATCCAGTCGCCTAAACTCTGCCCCTTTCTTACAGTCATGTGCATCTCACATTCAGATCTGCCTCCATGCAATCAACAACCAATGGGAACCTGTTCCCCACCCCCCCATTTTTTGCCAAAAAATGTCTTTTGAGTGATATTTTAATGTCGTTGTGTGGTTGTGATCAGACAGATCACAATATTGCAATACCAAATATTTACTTAATTTTACTATATATATATGAAGAGTTCAGATGCAAAAGCCTTTAAGTGCCATCTGAAATTTTCTTCCAAAATGAGCATTTTTCTCAGGCTCTCATGTGTGGGTTCAGTTATTTAACTGTAATGGCAATTAATAGGTTGTGTTCATTGTCATTAAAAGTGAAATAACTGAACATAAATATAGGAACCTGAGAAAAATGCTCATTTGAAAAGAAAATTTCAGATGGCACTTAGAGGCCTTTGCATCTGAACTCTTCATATATATATATATATATATATATATATATATATATATATGATAGTAAAATTAATAAACTAGACAGTTGTTATAAGGTTAAATTGCAAACTTTAGGTGGGGATATGCATACAGACATGTTTACTTGAACCAGGAGTGTTTCTAACCTTTTATCATAACTGGGGAACAAGTCTCCTCATAAAAAATAAATAAAAAATGTATTCCCATATTTTCCCCATTCATGACATGCAGAAGAGAGAGAGAGAGAAGATATTGTGGTCAGCAATTAAGAATTAATTCCCACAACCTTTTAATTTGCCAAAATTTAATTCAATTAAACTGAGGGAATGAGTTGACCCTTTTCACAGACTATGATGCATTTCCACCGTTATTAAAATAAATAAATAAATAAAAGAATATAAAACACTATATTTTGTGTTAAATTACTTTCGCACAAAAAAAAAAAGAAGAAAAAAGTTAACGTTGCTGTGATAGTGATTCCAGCACAACGGCTGAGGCAGTGACAGCACATTTAACATATTTATTCTGATATTTCTCTTGATATTTATTTCCTCTTTTGAAAAGTCATAGAACAGCTATCATGGATTTTTTATTTTGCTATTAGGACAAATTGGAACTCAAAAATATATGTTGTAGTTTGCATTCACCACTATTGAAATTTACCCAACTTTGATGACTTCTGAGAACCCCGGAAATGTGAAAAGGGTCCATTAGTACAACATGGTCATGATGTAAAATGTCAATAAAACATTAATAAAATATGGGACTTAATTCCTAATTCGTGGCCACAATATCTAATTCTTCTTTCGCATCTCATGTTCAGGGCTCTGTAGTTATGGATATTTGGATATAAATTGATTTCACTGCAGTAGAGAGTGGTTTACAAGCCGCACACAAGAGCAGCTTCATCACTGACAAATGATTTGCAAGTTTTGTTTCCAACAGTGGACGGTAGGTAAATATCCACCTTTTTGTTTTTTGTCTTACAAAGTATCCGGTTACTGTGTGAGAAACTGCTGCAAGTGATTCAGCGTGTGAGTGAACTGTTTGAATTAACTGATTTGAACTTAATCGTGAATTCTGTCAGGACCACTATCGTCAATATAACTTACGATTAGCATACATTTTAAGTTGGGAGAATGGTTCTGTTCTGGGCAAACATTCCCTGCCCATCCACATAGCCTAGCATGGATAGGAGCAGGAAGAGCAGAATACCCCTCCAAGGGTAACAGAACAGAACCAACATCAATGATAAATGTAGCAGATACCATTAATATTCTATGTGATTATTTTAACAACACGATTCAGTGGTCTGACTCAATGATATATTCACTGCCAAGTCCTGACTGGACGAGAGGAGGAGCTGGGGATGGAGGTGGGTGATTAGTTCCTGAGCGAAGCGATAGCTGCTGAATAATGACTGAAGGGACCTTATGAAGGGAATTATGATTGGTGTCGTGATCCTATAGGTAGACGTGGATCAGCTGAGTGTCAGCTGATGCGAGCTTGACTAACATGGCCTGCCAGAACTATCGCTACGCTCCATCAATTCAAGACCTTTTTACAAACCCACACAGATTATATTAGAACAGTGATTCGTTTGTGAATTTTGCATGGCTAGTTCTGATCAGTTGATAAAAAACATACAGGACATGATTGCTGAAATATTATCTGGGAAAATTATTCTCAGGTTGGTTTATGGCAATCTCTACCTTCAGACAATGATTTTTCAGTAATATTTTACTGGGACACAGCAGTATTTCACTGGAGCTGATGCCAATAAAAAGGGTCTAGCGACACCTTCCCTCAAATTATAATTTTGCAAAGTCATAGGTAAAATCAACACTTTGACACGATTAGATGACTCACAATGCTCGTTCGCTTAGCCCGGTAAATGGTGGCACTGAGTTTGTAAGCAGCATGTGTGTGTTTTAGATTAAATATTAAAACTATGTTAAGCTCAGTCACCTTGAGTAAAATACCAGTGTAGGCAGGATAAAAACAGATAGCCATTGAAATCTCACATTCCTGCCCTTCCATGTAGAAAACATTCTGCAGTACAGTCATTATGTAATCA